ATATATTGCAACCATCATGATCATACACAGCCCAAATGTGGGATCTTGTGTTCCCACTTCATGCCATCCGGCCGCATAAGCTCTGCAGCATGTTCAGTTCTCGGATTATGAATATTTATGACCCCCTCCCCCAACTTAAAAGAATGGACAGTTGCATTTCATCTCCTTGTGGAGTCGGCATGGTAGCTACCAGCCTATGCTTACAGCATTTGTGTATACGAGGCATTACTGCCACTCTGTACAATTCCGATGCTGGAGCTGGCATATTGTGTTCAGTTCTAGGCCCCTCATTACAAGGGGGACATAGCAAGGTTGGAATTGGTGCAGCGAAGGGCCACTAGGATGGTGGCCGGTTTGCAGGGGAAGCCGTATGAGGCGAGACTGAGGGAGCTGGGTCTCTTCAGCCTGGAGGAGAGGAGACTCCGAGGGGACCTGTTAGCGACATAGAGGTATGTCAGGGGGCGTCACACAGAGGTGGGTCATGACCTTTGTTCCCCTGCAGTGGAGGGCAGGATGCGTTCCAATGGAGCAAAGCTCAGGGAGGTTCAATTTGGATGCCAGAGGTACTTCCTGATGGTTAGGACCCCGAGGGTGTGGAATGGGCTTCCACGGGAGGTGGTTGAGGCCCCATCGGTGAGGGTGTTCAAGGATAGGCTGGACATGTCCATGGTGGGTGTGTCATGAGCAGAGCCGGCTGGACTCAGGGGTCAGACTGAATGGCCTGGGAGGCCCCTTCTGACTCGCTCTGTTTCTTTGTTTTATGTTTCTATGTATTTGGGAGGTAAAACCTGCATTGTAGAATAGGGCTGGTTTCTGAAGGAGCCTGTACAGAACTGCAGCTTTATTCTCCAGGTAAGCATTCCTGTTTGGTATCCTTGCATGTGTACAAAGAGAAACAGCCGTACAAAACATCAGTCTTGTAATTCTGCAACACAAAAGACATGCAGATTGTGGTTTAAGCTGTAGGAAGATCCCTTGATTGCAAGCCAATACTTGTTTATACTACATTAGAATTAATGTAATCACAATTACATTAGAATTAAAACAGTAGATTTCCATGCACACTTCTTCAAGAAATATATGAATGTCAACTGGGGGAAGTTGACCTAAGCCAATTATTTGAATTTTGTACATTTTTCAGCTCCATTGCTCATACGTGAGTTGGCCTCAAATAGTTTAAAGGATCTATCTGGGAAGATAATCTGGAATATTCCCATTTACATCACTGCAATCCAGAAGGCAAGTTGCTTCCTTCCAGGAGTTTGGGATTGCAACACGCCTCCATTCCAGGCAGGAAGGACAATGGCAGGGTCCCTGTGCAAAAGACATGCACATGGGCCACGAGAGATGTGCCGTGCCTTTGATCTCGGTTTGTGTGTCTTCTGGGAATGTTACCAGGCACTTTCTGCAGCAGCCTTCAGCTCATCCTGCGACATCGCGGGGGTGCTTAAGGGCCAGCGAAACCCTGCGGCCAAGTCAATTCTGCAGGCTGTTTGTGCAGAACTGGCATGATAAGCAGTTCCCATGGTGATGCTGTAACACGTGGAGGGGACCTAATGTAGAGGCGACAAAGATAAATCCAGCTGATATACCCCAGCTAGTATAAGGAGATAGGCAGAGGCCTCAGACACGATGGCCCAACCCTCTTCCCTCCTAGCTGCTGGTGTGTGCAGGGATGCCACCTCTGGTGAAGGGGATGGCCCATAGCCAGCAAGGCTAGTAGCCACGGAGAGCCTCCTCTGCTACGGATCGGTCCAATCCCCTTGTAAAGCCATCCAGATGGGCGGCCATCAGCATTTCCCATGGCAGCAAATTCCGCAGTTTTACTGTACATCGTGTGAAGAAGTCCTTCTTTGGTCTGCCCTAAACCCATCAGCTTCATCACTAATATGGGACCCGATTGGATTATATGACAGTGCTTTACAGACTGATTCAAACAGAAACTGAGTTTACAGGAGCTCAGAAGGGGCAGGACGCTGCGGGGGGGGGGGGGCATCCATTTATAGGGTGCTGTGAATCAAAGACAACTTGCAGCACGTAACAGCAAAGGCAGGGCCCGATTTTCGCCTCGTGCGTGAAAATGTTGGCATGCAGAACAGCAATAGATCTGCGGGTCTTGTTCAAGCAACTCCACTGTACACATAACAGGAAGTGGCTTGATCCTTAGCTGCACCAATCAAATGTGGCCAGCTCCTTTCCCTCCCATCTTGGAGCGTTAGGGGCATCCGATGGAGGGTGGAAGGAGCACAGAGGCCGGAATTACTTCCGTGTGCCCGTGTCCTCCAAAACAGTTTGATGCCAGATTTCAGGCATCAAAGTATCTTAGCTGGGCTTAGAGAAGATCCAGATGCATCACTGGGATTCCTCACAGAATGGAGGTTCCCCATTTCTCTCTTCCCCGTCCTAACTCAACAGTGGCTCCAGGATTGGTCTTGCAACTTCAGGGCATGGAAAGAACCATCCAGGATGCAAATTCCAAACTCAGAATTCCAGCTCACTTCTCTGAGCTGGGACTCTGGGTTATTGTGTGCACCCAACGAACCTTTTTTCCCAGTAATTGCAAGAAAGAAAGAAAATGAGATAAGAGGAATTCCAGTGTCCTTCAGTTTGTATTATTTTTCTCAGCACTTTGTAAACTGTCAGGGCCATATTAATCGACATCACATATTCTAGAGGTGAGCATCATTTTGACCTGTCATGGCAGAAGCTGCCAAGAATTCTGTGGGACATCCAAGGGTAATATTTATTGCGGCATAACCCTGTGCTTGCCAGAGGAAAGCTCTGCAAATACTCTGGACCGGACGCAAGACAAACAAGCGGTCCCAAAATCCAATCAAGCCGGGGCGTTCCCTAGAAGTGAGAAGGACAAATCTGGGGCTGGCTGGCTTCAGGCACACCTTGAGAAGGCCTGAGTCCCATGCCAGGGAAAATTGAAGGCGGAAGAGAAATGGAAGGCCAGCTAGGCACGGATCAACTCCGTAAAGGAAGCCCCAGCTGTGAATTCACAAGAGCTCAGCAGGGCTGTCAAGGAAATGATATTGCGGAGGGCTTTTACCCTTAGGGCTGGAACACGCATAAAAACACCAAGCCTACACTTTAATGATCGTTATATTCTTGCTGCTGCTGCCCCAGCCGCTGAGGGTGACCCCTGGAAATTAACTCTCCAGCTGGAGCAGGGCCATGGCGCTTCTCCTGAGATGCAGTGCCACACTCCGTATTGCAGGTGCTGCGCTTGAAGCAGCCGGCGCAGAAAGGGCATTTCGCGCAGGGCCAAGAGCCAGCCGCGCAGCAGGACAAGCGTCTTCTGCCTCCGAGGTCCGGGGCCGGGACATCGGTTCCGCTCGCGCCCCGAGCAGGTGCGCCCCGAGGGCCGCGGCGCATGAGCCGAGCGGCTCCGGGGCGCGGGCTCCTCCGTGCGCAGGGGCCGGGAGGCGAGGGCGCGCCCCGTCCGGCGCGGCGCCCATCTCCCCGCAGCCCCCGCGGCCCCGCGCCGCGCCAGCGTGCGCCCCCCGCTCCCCGCCAGCCAGTAGGGACCCCGGGCGCCGCCACGTGAGCTCGCACCGCCCCCGCTTGCGCACAGCCGCTCGTGGGCGGACTCGCGCCGGCCTCTCCCCTCCCCTCCCCTCCCCCCCTCCCCCCCCCCGCCACCGCAGTTCCGCTGCAGGAGCGCGGGGCAGCCTGCAAGGCGGCGGCGGCGGCGGCCGGGGCTCCCCGAAGCGCTCCCGTGCAGGCGGAGGCGGCGGGCCGCGGCGCGGGACTCGCCAGCGAAGGTCGCCCGGCCGCGGCGCGCCGAGGGGCGCTCTGATCGCCTTCCACCCGCCCCCCCCACCCCCCCGCTGCCGCCTGCTGCCTCTCCCGTGCGGGGATCGCTTCGGCCCGGACTAGCCCGTCCGCCGGCTCGCAGGCTGGAGAGGCGCGCTGCGGAACAAAGGGCAAGCGAGGAGAGGACGCGTCGCGCCGGGACGCGGCGAGCGCGCTGCGCCGGTGCGGGAGGCCGCCCGGCCGCGGAGCGCAGGGAGTCCCCGCGCGGGGAAGACGCAGCTGCGCCGGAGGGACCGGCTCCCGCCCGGCCGGTGCGCGCTGACGGCTGCGGCGGGCCTGCTGCGGCGCGGGCAGCGTGACTGCGCGGGGAGTGGGCGGCGGCGCGGCGCCCCCTCCTTCCTCTCCGGCGTGGGATTTAATGGCCCCGGCGGCGGGGCTCGGATGACTCCGGCGGAGGCGGCGCGGGCGCTGCGATGCCTCCAGCGGCGGCGGCGGCGAGGGCCACGCGGGCTGCGCTGAGAGGGGGCATGTGAGCCGCGGCGGCGGCGTTGGCGGCTGCGGCAGCGGAAGAGGCGTCGGGCGCGGACCCGCCGCTCCCCCCTCGTGTCTTGCCCTTCGCCAGCCGCCCCGGGAGGAAGGACGCGTGGCTGGCTCGGCTCGGCTCCGGGGGCGCCCGGGCGCTCCACAACTGCCTGCCCTGCACACACACACTCGCTCACTCACTCACACAGACGCGCGCACACTCACGCACCCGCGCGCGCGCGCGGCCACGCACACGCCCGTTCTGGCAACCCTCTGAGGCCGTGCGGAGGATGGCTACCCTGCTCCGGAAGATGGGGCTCATCCGGATCCACAACAGGGACACGGAGGACCCCAAGCACCACCACCACCACCATCACCGTCGCGGCAGCGCGCAGCAGGGCTCGTCCTTGCGGGGCAGGGGCAACCAGAAGAACAAGCCGGCGCTGCAGGGCACCCCGGCCAGCGGCTGCGGCAGCCCCAGCAAGGAGAGCTGCAGCGGCGGCAGCCCCGCGCGCGGCCAGCCCCGCAAGGCGCCGGAGCTGGCCAAGCAGCCGTCGCCGGGCCCCGACGGCGCGCGGGAGAAGGCGCAGCCGCCCGGCGGCGGCGGCGGCAGAGAGGCGGGCCCCGGCAAGGAGGCCCCGGCGGGCGGCGGCGGGGGGAGCCGCGGCGGCTCGGCGCTGGCCCCCTCGGCGCCGGTGCTGGCCGGCCGGCAGGCGCACTGCACGCAGGTGCGCACCCGGCGGCTGATGAAGGAGCTGCACGACGTGGCGCGCCTGAGCGACCGCTTCATCTCGGTGGAGCTGGTGGACGAGAGCCTCTTCGACTGGAACGTGAAGCTGCACCAGGTGGACAAGGACTCCGTGCTGTGGCAGGACATGAAGGAGACCAACACCGAGTACATCTTGCTCAACCTCACCTTCCCCGACAACTTCCCCTTCGCGCCGCCCTTCATGCGGGTGCTCAGCCCGCGCCTGGAGAACGGCTACGTCCTGGACGGCGGCGCCATCTGCATGGAGCTGCTCACGCCCCGCGGCTGGTCCAGCGCCTACACCGTGGAGGCCGTCATGCGCCAGTTCGCCGCCAGCCTGGTCAAGGGCCAGGTAGGGCTCGCCCGCGGGGGGGGGGGCTGGGCTGGAGGCTCCGCCGGAGGCGCCCCCGAGAGGGGCTGGGGCCCGAGGGCTTTCCCGGGGAAGGGGCTCTGCACGTGGGCAAAGGCACCCTTGCCTGCTGCTTCGTGCGCCTTAGGCTTCGCCTTACTCTGAGCCCGAGCAGGACTCGCAGGCTCGACTTAAATACCGGGCGTGGGGCTTTGCCGCTCTGCAGCTTGTACGAACCCAGCGGCCGCGGGGCAAGCGAGGGATGCCCGGCCCCGAAGGCTCTCCAGGGCCGTGAGCGTTCCAGGCGGGATCGGACCAAGATCACATCCTGACCCGGCCAGATCCGGAGCCCCTGCCTCTGTCCTAGGGCTTTTGCTGGGTTTAAAGGGATCTCCCGCTCCAAGGCCCCCGCTTTGAGCGGCTGAGTTGCATTACCCTAGAGGTGTCCTCCGGAATCCCCAGAGGCGGCGTCTCTTGGGTCGTGGAGATTTGCTCGCTGCAACATGGCCGAGAATTGTGGGGTGCCCCACTGCTTCATTGCTGCTTATAAAAATACTTCTGGAGTCCAAATAAGCCCCGCTCATCGCTGCAGAAGAGCTTTGGTCAAAATCAGGCGGTGGGTTGTTTTCTGCAGCCCGGAGGAGGACGGGCATTTATCTGCCATTGGCTTGCTTGGCCTTGGAGCTCCAGAGGTGGGAAAGAGTCGGCGTGCAATCCAATCTCTGGTGCAGAAGCGAGAGGAAGACAGTTGCACAATCTGTGGATTGTGGTTCCCACTCCGCTGCAATGTGCATGCAAAAAAAGGTTTATCAGCTTAGAAATGGCCTGAAGAAAGTGAGCAGAGCTTAATTATCCCCCTCTGTCTTTCTCAAACCACTAAAATAGAAGAGGGAGCTGGTGAAGCCAGACTTGCCTTCACAGAACAGTAATTCGCTCCTGCAAGATGTCATTTTGACCACTAATTGTGAGAGCTAAAAGAAAAAAAATTATGTGTTCGTGTGTGTTCTGCATTGGGCTGCCCTTGAAAATGGTCTGGAAACTTCGGTCGATACAGAATCGGGCAGCTCATCTCCTGATGGGAATGAGCAGCAGCGATCGGATCAGCCCTGGTTGCCAGTTGAAGTCCAGGTCCACTTTAAGGTGCTCCTGCTAGCAGATAAAACACTAAATGGCTTAGGGCCTGGATACCTAAAGGAGCATCTTCTCCCATGTACATCTATCTGGACCCTTAAATCATATACAGACGCCCATGAGCCTCCCCTAAGGAGGTAAAGAGGGTGGCTAAAAAGGGCAGGGCCTTCTCAGCTGTGGCACCCCATCTGTGGAATGGGGAGATATGCCTGACACCAACATTATATATATTCTGGCACCAGGTTAAGGTATTCTTATTTTCTCCCCATTTTTGTTTTTAAAATTATTATTATTTATATTTCTGTGCCACCCCAGCCAAAGCTCTCTGGGTGGCTCACAACGTTAAGTCACCCATCCAGGTTTCCGTCAGGCCTGACCACACTTAGCTTCTAAGGTTAGGCAGGATCAGGTACTTCAGGCTATATGGAAGCTATATTTTAATGGTTGATTGTGATTTTCTTGTTTTAAAACTGTTTGGTACAGGTGGAATGGTTATTATGTTATTGTGCGTTTTGTTATTGTTTTAAATGGATTGTTACTGATTTTTAAATTATATTTTGTAACCGTTCTGAGAGCTTGTCTAATTGAACTGTGTCAAAATACCTTAGATAAATAGATAAATGTATCCATGGAGAAACTCTGCATGAGTGACTAAGATGCCTAACTGGAGATGGTTAACCTCATTCGGGGAACGCTGTATTGACCTCGGAGACTCGGAGTGCGGCAGGATGCGTGTTGGTGCATGCTCAGGCGGCTCCATCCCAGGAACGCTCCGGCTCGGCTCGGCGTTTTCTATATCGTGATGCACATTGTGAGATGAAGCCTGTGGCTTGAAAGGAGAGCATCTAGCCCCACCTAGCTTGTGTGAAGATGCAGGAGGGAAGGAGAAAGAACAGGATATTCCATGTGTTTCGAATGTGTAAATTCGAATCCTTGCTGAAAGTCGGTAGCAGATTGGAACCTAAACCTGATAATTCTATAGATAAGCTCCTCCTCTTTCTCCTTGCTCATCCCTTTCTTAAAATGTTTCTGGAGTTCGCAGTGGGAAGGAAAGCAGAGCATGCCAATTATTCGTACACCCAACTTTTTTTTGAAGTTGCTACTGTGAAACCCATCCTAAGAATGGCTCAGTTCTTAATGAGCTTTGTGTTTTCTTCCTCTTCTGAAATAGACTGTGTGATCATAGATCAAAGCAAAATTGGTTATGCCTTAAATTAAACGTGACACCTCCTTTAGGATTAACTTATGTTTGCAGGTGAATTTAAACTATGGTGGATTGATTATAACACACGTGCGCAGATTGAAAGGTTTCTGCCCAGCATCTTTCTGCTTTCCAAGCAGCACTGTCACCAAGATGCAAACTTGCTTAGGTGCTTGCACACAGTCTAGGAAGAAGCTCCATTGCACAGACTCTGTTGTACTTAAGTGTCGTGTCTTTGCACACCAGCCCATTCATCCCAGAAGGGCTTGGACAAGAAAACTTTCTGCTAGCAGAGTCACGGGAGGGTTTGTAAAACTGTTAGATGTCACCTCCAACGACTCTGTTCCCCTAGTCACAAAATGGATCTTAATAAAGGGTTTATAGCGGTATGTAAATGGTCTATAACAACCAAGTGGATTTTCAAAAGTTTCAAATGTGGCAGGTTTTTCTCTTTTAACATAGCCTGTTAAATCCAGATATAGATGTGTTGAAGTAAAAATGGAATGAATGGCCTTCTGTTGAACATACATCTAGTGTTAGGTAAGGAGATGCCCAGCCTTCTGCTAGTCCTCCATCCCTCTTGGAGCCTTCCCAAATCCATTTCGGGGAGTCCTCCAGCCTGCTAGAGCAGGCACGAGGTGAAGTAGGGGGTACTGCAGATGGGAGGAGAATTCATTCTGCCAGAAGTGGGACAGACATCTGTTGATGGACCGACATCATCCAGTACAACTCCTTGTGCCCATTTGTGTTGGTTTGATTTGCAAAATCTGCATACAATTTGGGATGGTGCGAACTGGGGGCTTGCAGGGGGTTGGACCCGATGGCCTTCGTGGCCACTTCCAACTCTACTAATCTAGGATTCTATGACATTTACTCTTGTCAAAGTTTTAAGGATCGCCTAACTCAGTGAGCTCTGTGGGCTGATACCAGGGCAAAAACTTTATGTAAGAGTATAGAATTCCATTGTGGAATCGGTTGCATTGTTGCACTGCTCCAACAAAGGAAGTTTTTCCAGAATCTGCCCTCCTGTAACAGGAGCCCATTATTCTGTGTTCTGCACTCTGGGATGACAAAGAAGAGTTTTTGACCCTCTTTCATGTGATAGGTACTTGAAAAGCGATAGCATATCTCCTCTGAGATATGACTTCGCTTCTCAAGGCTAAACGCACCCAGTTCTTCCCCTCTCTCCTCATAAGGCTGTGTTTCCAGTTCCCTGCTCATCTTTTGTGCCTGCAGCTGGAGTACTGTGTTCAGTTTTGGGCCCCTCGTACAGGAAGGATACAGCCAGGCTAGAGTCAGTGCAGCATAGGGCCACAAGGACGGTGGCTGGATTGCAGGGGATGCCTTATGAAGTGAGACTGAGGGAGCTGGGTCTCTTCAGCCTGGAGAAGAGGAGACTCCGAGGGGACCTGTTGGCGACATATAGGTACCTGAGGGGGTGTCACACGGAGGTGGGTAGAGACCTGTTCTCCCCTGCGGAGGAAGGCAGGACGTGCTCCAATGGAGCAAAGCTCAGGGAACCCAGATTCAGTTTGGATGCCAGGAAGCACTTCCTGACGGTCAGGACCCCGAGGGTGTGGAATGGGCTTCCATGGGAGGTGCTGGAAGCCCCATCGGTGCGGGTGTTCAAGGATAGGCTGGACATGCACATGGTGGGCATGTCATAAGTGGAGCGGGCTGGAGCCGGGGGTCAGACTAGATGCCCCGGGAGGCCCCTTCTGACTCGCTCTGTTTCCATGTTTCTGTGTTTTTCAGCATCTTTCTTCCACCGCGATGCCCAGAGCTGGCCACGGTTTTTAAGATGAAGCCAAACCACTGCTAAGTAGAGGAGAACTGGGACTTGATGTGATTTGGAAATGGTACTTCCATTAGTAGTCACCACATTGTTTTCAAAGTGGGTGCAGACCGACTGCTTTACGAACTGCCCCAGAATTTTTGGGGGACTGACACCAGACTGTAGGTCTGTAGGTTCCAGGGTCCTCCTTTTTCTTATTTTTAAAGACAGGGACTGAATTAGCCCTTCTCCAGGCATCTGGCACTTCACCTGCCTTCCAGTAGTTCTGGGCATTCACCAGACCCTGGAGATTAGAACTCGTCCAAAGTAATGAGGTGGTCCCTTATATCCTGCCTGTTTCCTACAAAGGACTCAAGGCAGCTTACATCCTCCTCCTCCTCCATCTTCTCCCCACAACAACCACCCTGTGAAGTAGGCTGGGCTGAGAGTCTGTGCCTGGCCCAGAGTCACCCAGCTGGCTCCATGGCTGAGCGGGGACTCGAACCCAGGTCGCCCGAGTCCCAGTCCCGTGCTCTAACCACTGCACCACACTGGCTTGAGCTTGTACTTCACCTTGCTGGGGAAGCCATAGGCTCTCTCCCGGGGGAAGGCTGCCCCAAAGCAGCGATGGGGCATTTCTGCCTTTTCTTTGTCCTCCTTTAGCATCTTGCGGAACAACCATTTCTTTCCCTTGCTTTTTCTACTTGCTTTTTGTAAGCTATCCTGAGATGCAATAGTGAAGGGCAGCATATCAGTGTTTTAAATAAATAAATAAATACTGCGCACGTATCCCAAGAAGCCTTTTTTGTTGCTCTCAGCATCGTTCGCTTGTAGTTGTCGTAGCAGTGATGATACCTCCAGCTCATGCTCAGCTCTAGCCTTCCTGACGCTTCCCCT